GAGTACCTGACTGTGAGTACCTGACTGTGAGTACCTGACTGTGAGTACCTGACTGTGAGTACCTGACTGTGAGTACCTGACTGTGAGTACCTGACTGTGAGTACCTGACTGACTGTGAGTACCTGACTGACTGTGAGTACCTGACTGACTGTGAGTACCTGGGTACCTGACTGACTGTGAGTACCTGACTGACTGAGTACCTGTGTGAGTACCTGACTGACTGAGTACTTGAGTGCTGTTTAGTTAAAATGAAGTGGGGAAAATAGCTTTTTGAAATAATTATTGCCAAACTTCAGTTTTTTTTTCTGTTCTTTTCTAAATATTTCTTATTTACAAGCACTCACACAGCTTTATGACAGTGTAAATATTTCGTTGTGAGCCCTGCGATGGCCTGGTTACCTGTCCAGGTTATACCTCGGCTCTCACACACACAGTGACTGCTGCAGATAGGTGACAGCGACCAAGGAAAAAAGCAGATGAAGAAGATGGGTGGATCTGAATTATGACCGTGTGTTTATTTATCTTTGTCCCAGATTATGGAAAATGCTGAGATAAACAACATCATTAAAATTGTTGGCCTGCAGTACAAGAAGAGCTATGACGACGCAGAGTCTCTGAGGAGCCTGCGTTATGGCAAGATCATGATCATGACCGATCAGGTGACCCGCCTCGTACAGACACTCTCACAGCTAAGACGACCAGAGTCCAGGAAGCAGGTCTAACTTCCTCTGTCTTTTACCAGGATCAAGATGGCTCTCACATCAAAGGTCTGCTCATCAACTTCTTCCACCACAACTGGCCCTCCCTGCTGAAACACACATTCCTGGAGCAGTTCATCACTCCTCTTGTAAAGGTAAGAAACTAACAGACACAATGCTTTTCTTTAATGATGCTGATCTGCAGCTGCATCCATCAGTAAAATGAGTTGTTTGTCTGCAGGCGACCAAGAACAAACAGGAGCTGTCCTTCTACAGCCTTCCAGAGTTTGAGGAGTGGAAGAAACAAACGGAGAATTTTAAAACCTGGCATATAAAATACTACAAAGGTTTGATGCTTTAATAGTTACTGTTCCTGCATACTGACTTGTAAACATTTAAAACATTTAAAACCCTGATGTATGCTCCAGGTTTGGGTACGAGCACCAGCAAAGAGGCAAAGGAGTACTTTGCTGACATGGAGAGGCACCGCATCACGTTCAAGTATAACGGTGCTGAGGATGACGCTGCCATCACTCTGGTGAGTGGACGAACACACTTATGTTTGTGTTGTTAGCAAAATATCTCCTATAATTGTGTCTCATAGGATATATTTTAAATCAAGTTGGAGAAAACTAAAGTCCGTTGTCCAGGTTTCCTGGGCTGTACCTCTGCAACACTCCTGGGATACTGATAATGACATTATCCTCCAGCTAATATTTTATTACCCAAATACTGAAACTGGTTGACCTCTGATGACCTCTGGAAACTTTTATTAATATCTTAAAAGCGTTAGAGTTTTGTGTAATCCAATATTGTTGTGTCATAAATTGAACGAAATAAGAATCACACATTTGAAATATTTATATCCTCATCATGGTCTACAGTGAGGCAGCTCTCTGCTCAATGGACTATTTTGCTGATACTGTGCCACTTAAAATCCATAAGATATGGTAGATGGTACATAGGGTTAAGATATGGTAGATGGTACATAGGGTTAAGATATGGTAGATGGTACATAGGGTTAAGATATGGTAGATGGTACATAGGGTTAAGATATGGTAGATGGTACATAGTGTTAAGATATAGT